ATGCAGTCAGGAGGTGCCAGAGATTGACACAGAGTGACATCCACCCTCTCACAGCAGTTTTTCTCTATTCATGGGTGCTTCCATTCAGCGAGACCCCAGCCTCACAGACAAGGATGGAAGTCACAGGTACAGGTGGTTTCTGCCACATCTCAACAGCCCCACCTCGAGCTTTAGCTCAAAAGATTCTGATAAGGTATACAGAACGCAAGAAACATAACAATGCAAGGAACACAGGAACAGGGTTCAATCCCTCGATTTTCTGGGTGAAAAGTTTGGCATTGATGCTGCCCGATCTCCAAGAGCAATTGAGCATAGCCTCCAGAATATTAACCTATCCCTGCATCTCCAGATTGAATCCTGGGCTCTTCTCTCCACCACACTTTTTCTCCCAATGCCTGACTTCAGCAGGACAGCGTAACATACTTACCTCAGTCTACAAAATGCTGGGTGCAAATTGACTGCCGCATGAGCCTACAAATACAGTCACTACACTTTCCAATAAATCCAGTGATGGACTTGGAGACATCCTCCCAACGAGAAAGGCCCTGGATCAAATGTAAGGATAATCAGCAATACACCCACCCCTGCATCAAACACTCTTTTCATCCAGGTTCATAAATCAGTTCTTTCTTGTTAGGATTAATTGACTCAGCAAACCTGGACCCAACTGACAAAAGACACCAGCACCAACCAGTGTGTGAATTGGGTTGAGAATAATGGGCACTTGGGCATCACTGTGTGGGTGAGATGCCCAATTGCATAAGGTAAGGAAAAGCAACTTGCACACGTAAGACTGGACATTAGCACAAGTCTGTACCTTTAGAGAGGTCAGGAGGGAGGAGAAACAGGTGCAATCAAAACTGGCAAAAAAATTACTGCAAATCAGTTTTTTTTTAAATCACAGACACTGCGGATTGTCAGACACATCATTCCCCTATCATCCCACTATTAAATACAACAACAACAACATTACATTTATAGAGTACCTTTCATGTCCGGAGGACATCCCAAGGTGCTAAAATGCTTGTACTTGGCAAACCTCCTCATCACATCTCAAAGTGCAAACCACAATGAGCTCCTTTCAAGAATTATGCAACAGCTGATGTGCACCAGTAACACAGTAATGAGATGCAAGACCAAAATGGGCTCTCTGGCACCAACATCAATTTTACAGTGAACAATCCAACAGGCCTTGAATTTGTGGCTTCAGCTTAACCCTTTTAAAAGGAAGCCACAACTGCCTTGTGAGAGGCAAACCTTTACCAAGGTACAGGACAGAGGGCAGGGCATCTTAAATTGTTGCTGGAGATATTAAGGTCATGCACATGGAGGCTACAAGCAGACAAAACATGTAATTTCGGTTTGCAGTGATGATGATTCTGAGTAGAGGTGCTGACTTCATCTACAGACTGGTTACGTCAAGTGTTCTATTTGTATTGCTGCTTTTCCTGTACGTAAGGTCAATGTGAGATTTTATAATCCTGTGTGCAGTAGAGAAGGAGCTGTTAAGGGAGAGTTAAGTAAACTGTCTGCACACGTCTCAATCTCTGATCTTTTGCAAATCGTTCAAAATGCAGATCGTCAGAGCTTCTTTGAGCTTGCGATTCTGAACAGGAAAGCGGTGCATTCATTCATTAGAGTACGTAAACCACAGTTAGCTTCGTCAATAGAAAATTCATATTCTGTAAGCAGACAGAAAACCAGTTCTGATGCCATTGCAGACCGAGAACACAAAGCTTCAATAGTTTATTTCAATTACCTGAACCAATCCGGAAATACTATCACAAAAGCACTGGTAGGTATCATACATAATACATGGATAGATAGATTAAACAATAAACAAGATCACTTTGGGCAGATGGTGCGCACATTTTTCTTCTGATGTTGCTTTTTATTTTCCCTTGCTCTCTCTCGCTCTCTCACACTCTTGGTGGTCCTCACATTCAACTAGACAGGACTTCAGGAATTTTTCTATCCCTGACTCTCAACTATTTCTTTTCTTGGACTGAGATCAGTTAACTCAGGACAGGCAAAAAATTCAACCTGCAATGGGATTTGCGGATATTGTATTTGACTCAGAACCTACAGTACAATACCACCACATTTGTTTTCTCCAGCAAGAAGCAGGTCATTTTAGCTCCTCATACATTTAACCTGCGGGAGATCCAAACCAAACGGTAACAAACTGATAACACAAGTTCTTTAAGATGAAGGCATTCCATTGCTTCAATTCACAAAGCCGAGAAATGCACAGAATTTCTATTAAACACCAAGATAACAACAATAACTTGTATTTTTCAAGTTACAGTGCTTTTTCATATTAACAAAGTATAACTGATAGGAAATCACAAGATCGGTCTGGATGAAGAAGGACCATCTCATCTCTTCCATCCAGATCACCCGAACCAGCACCCACATCACAGCATCAAATCCCAGGATACTGGTTGAGGCCATCCTTCCTGGCAATTACAATTGTTACAATTGTTTATTATTATTGTTTATTCTGTGTAAAGAAATCTTCCTGGTATCTGTCCTGAAACCGCCCTTTACAACTCTAAATCCATGTCCTCTTATTCTACTGTCACAATCCATCCTGAAGTATTGATCTGGATTTGCTTTTTTTAACCCATTTAAAATTTTATACACCTCTATGAGACCCCTCTGAGTCGTCTTCTCTCAAGACTGAAGAGCCCAGGTTTGTCTCGTCATTGCTGAATCTTGTCTAGTCCCAAACGCAGTAGTGATTATGCACCAGCAACATCCCACAAGCAATAATGAGGCAAACAACCAATCCATTTAAATTTGAAGGTAAATTTAGATTCAGAGTGAAAAATAAACCAGTATAACCAGACAAAAGCACTGGTTAGGCCTCAGCTGGAGTACTGTGTTCAGTTCTGGGCCTCACACTTTAGGAAGGATGACAAGGCATTGGAGAGGGTGCAAAGGAGATTTACCAGGAATGAGGGACTTCAGTTATGAGGAGAGGCTAGAGACGCTGGGATTATTCTCCTTGGGGCAGAGAAGGTTAAGAGGAGACTTAATAGAAGTTTTCAAAATTCTGAGGGGATTCGATAGGGTGAACAAGGAGAAACTATTTCCACTGGCCGGTGGGTCGATAACCCGAGGACACCGATTTAAAATAGTTGTTAAAAGAAACAGAGGAGAGGTGAGGAGACATTTTTTCACACAGCAAGTTGTTCGGATCTGGAATGCATTGCCTGAAAAGGCGGCGGAAGCCGATTCGATAACAACTTTTAAGAGAGAAGTAGATAATTATTTGGGGAGGACAAATGACAAGTTTGCGGGGCTTTGGGGAGAGAATGGGGGATTGGGATTGAATTGGATAGCTCTTTTCAAAGAGCCGACACAGACACGATGGGCCGAATGGCCGCCTTCTGTGTGGTATAATTCTATGGTTCTATGATTCTGTGAAAGACCTAACACGTCTTTAAAACAGTAACAGGAGAATCACAAAGCAGACAGAAATTAACAACAACAAAGTGCATTTGTATAACACTTTTATCCCAAGGCGCTGGACAGTCAAGGGTTTGCACCCGAGCTGGGGGTTGGAATCAAGAGGGGTCTAGGTTTGGGAGGGTGACCGAAGGTATGGTCAAAGCAGAAGGGGGAAAAAAAGCCTTTGTCCACAGTTCAGACACATTCCTCCGAGGGAAAATGTGACGCTATTTCCATTTCAATGTTAGAAACACATGGAACCTCGCTTGTGTCCATTTTTTTTGCAACAGCTTAGAAAATAAACATTTTTTTTCACACGAACAAAAATGTACTTTAGCACAGCTCAAGCACCGCACATCTTGAGAGTCCCTCTGGCTAACCTACCTCATCTCCACGTTTGAGACTGTGACAAACAATACCACAAATCCAACGCTCTCTTGCTCCCTCCCCACACGCTCTGAAACGCTAACTTGTGTGAGGGACACTATATCAATGCAAGTTTTGTTATTATGAACTCGCAAGTACACTTACAGAAACACACACACACACAAGGTGACAGAAATATACATGGACAAGCTTATAGAAACGCACACAAGCATACAGAAACACACTAACACATGCAGCTTCCAGAAACACACACATACAAGCTTCCAGAAACACGTTTACAGAAACACACACACACAAGCTTGCAGAAACACACACATGCTTACACCAACACACACACAAACACACACACAAGCTTGCAGAAACACACACACACAAGCTTGCAGAAACACACACACAAAGCTTGCAGAAACACACACACACAAGCTTGCAGAAACACACACACACAAGCTTGCAGAAACACACACACACAAGCTTGCAGAAACACACACACACAAGCTTGCAGAAACACACACAAGCTTACACCAACACACACACAAACAAGCTTACACCAACACACACAAACACACACACACAGAAGCTTACAGAAACACACAAGCTTACAGACACACATACAAGCTTACACAAATACACGCAAGCTTACAAAAATACACACACAAGCTTACAGAAACACACACACACACAAAAGCTTACAGACACACACACATACACACAAGCTTACACCAACACACACACAAACAAGCTTACACCAACACACACAAACACACACACACACAAGCTTACAGACACACACACACACACAAGCTTACAGACACACACACAAGCTTACAGACACACACACACAAGCTTACAGACACATACACACACATACACAAGCTTACAGACACACACACACACACCAGTTTACAGACACACACACAAGCTCAGACACACAAGCTTACACACACATACACACACCAGTTTACACACAAACACACATACACACACCAGTTTACACACACAAATACACACCAGCTTACACACACACACAGCAGAGTACACACACACAGCAGTGTACACACACACACAGCAGTGTACACACACACACACACACAGCAGTGTACACACACACACACACAGCAGTGTACACACACACACAGCAGTGTACAGACAGCCCTCACTTGAAGCTGAGGATGCAGAGGGGACGGTAGGACTTGTGGCTGCTGCTGTCAGTGAGCTTCTTGCCCCAGAAGTCGTTGCTGAAGGCTCCGGTGGTGGGGCTGTGGGTCCGCACGTCCGGGTTGTTGACGATCGCCCACACGTCGTCGTGGACCAGGTCCCCGGGCAGTCCGTTCCAGTAGGCGGCGGCGCACAGCGCCACACAGAGCCCGTGACACAGGCAGTGCCGCACAGCGCTTCCCTCCGCTCCCAATGTCATGTCCTCGCGGCTCCCGCATCCCGAGAACTGCACTGACAGTGAGAGCACAGCGGCGGCTCCGCACAGCCCAACCCACACCCACACCCACCCACACCCACAGACACGTCCCCGGGCGGAGCCACAGCGGCTCAGCCCCACCTCAGCCCCACAGCACAGCACAGCCACAGCGGCTCAGCCCCACAGCACAGCCACAGCGGCTCAGCCCCACAGCACAGCCACAGCGGCTCAGCCCCACAGCACAGCACAGCCACAGCGGCTCAGCCCCACAGCACAGCGGCTCAGCCCCACAGCACAGCCACAGCGGCTCAGCCCCACAGCACAGCCACAGCGGCTCAGCCCCACAGCACAGCCACAGCGGCTCAGCCCCACAGCACAGCCACAGCGGCTCAGCCCCACAGCACAGCCACAGCGGCTCAGCCCCACAGCACAGCCACAGCGGCTCAGCCCCACAGCACAGCACAGCCACAGCGGCTCAGCCCCACAGCACAGCACAGCCACAGCAGCTCAGCCCCACAGCACAGCACAGCGGCTCAGCCCCACAGCACAGCACAGCCACAGCGGCTCAGCCCCACAGCACAGCCACAGCAGCTCAGCCCCACAGCACAGCACAGCCACAGCGGCTCAGCCCCACAGCCACAGCACAGCCACAGCGGCTCAGCCCCACAGCCACAGCGGCTCAGCCCCACAGCGGCTCAGCCCCACAGCACAGCCACAGCGGCTCAGCCCCACAGCCACAGCACAGCCACAGCGGCTCAGCCCCACAGCACAGCCACAGCGGCTCAGCCCCACAGCCACAGCACAGCCACAGCGGCTCAGCCCCACAGCACAGCACAGCCACAGCGGCTCAGCCCCACAGCACAGCACAGCGGCTCAGCCCCACAGCCACAGCACAGCCACAGCGGCTCAGCCCCACAGCACAGCACAGCCACAGCGGCTCAGCCCCACAGCACAGCACAGCGGCTCAGCCCCACAGCACAGCCACAGCGGCTCAGCCCCACAGCACAGCCACAGCGGCTCAGCCCCACAGCACAGCACAGCCACAGCGGCTCAGCCCCACAGCACAGCACAGCCACAGCGGCTCAGCCCCACAGCACAGCACAGCCACAGCGGCTCAGCCCCACAGCCACAGCGGCTCAGCCCCACAGCCACAGCGGCTCAGCCCCACAGCCACAGCGGCTCAGCCCCACAGCACAGCACAGCCACAGCGGCTCAGCCCCACAGCCACAGCGGCTCAGCCCCACCTCAGCCCCACAGCACAGCACAGCCACAGCGACTCAGCCCCACAGCCACAGCACAGCGGCTCAGCCCCACAGCACAGCACAGCCACAGCGGCTCAGCCCCACAGCACAGCACAGCCACAGCGGCTCAGCCCCACAGCACAGCACAGCCACAGCGGCTCAGCCCCACAGCACAGCACAGCCACAGCGGCTCAGCCCCACAGCCACAGCGGCTCAGCCCACAGCGGCTCAGCCCCACAGCACAGCCACAGCGGCTCAGCCCCACAGCCACAGCGGCTCAGCCCCACAGCACAGCACAGCCACAGCGGCTCAGCCCCACAGCCACAGCGGCTCAGCCCCACCTCTGCCCCACAGCACAGCACAGCCACAGCGACTCAGCCCCACAGCCACAGCACAGCGGCTCAGCCCCACAGCACAGCACAGCCACAGCGGCTCAGCCCACAGCACAGCACAGCCACAGCGGCTCAGCCCCACAGCACAGCACAGCCACAGCGGCTCAGCCCCACAGCACAGCACAGCCACAGCGGCTCAGCCCCACAGCCACAGCGGCTCAGCCCCACAGCGGCTCAGCCCCACAGCACAGCCACAGCGGCTCAGCCCCACAGCCACAGCACAGCCACAGCGGCTCAGCCCCACAGCCACAGCGGCTCAGCCCCACAGCCACAGCACAGCCACAGCGGCTCAGCCCCACAGCACAGCACAGCCACAGCGGCTCAGCCCCACAGCACAGCACAGCCACAGCAGCTCAGCCCCACAGCCACAGCACAGCCACAGCGGCTCAGCCCCACAGCACAGCCACAGCGGCTCAGCCCCACAGCACAGCCACAGCGGCTCAGCCCCACAGCACAGCCACAGCGGCTCAGCCCCACAGCCACAGCGGCTCAGCCCCACAGCACAGCCACAGCGGTTCAGCCCCACAGCACAGCCACAGCGGCTCAGCCCCACAGCCACAGCCACAGCGGCTCAGCCCCACAGCCACAGCGGCTCAGCCCCACAGCCACAGCGGCTCAGCACAGCCACAGCGGCTCAGCCCCACAGCACAGCACAGCCACAGCGGCTCAGCCCCACAGCCACAGCGGCTCAGCCCCACAGCACAGCCACAGCAGCTCAGCGGCTCAGCCCCACAGCACAGCCACAGCAGCTCAGCCCCACAGCACAGCCACAGCCCACAGCCCGACTACCACAGCACCAACACACCGGCAACACACTGGGCAGTGAGACACTACACTGGGCAACACACTGGGCAGTGAGATACCACACTGGGCAACACACTGGGCAGTGACACAACACACTGGGCAGTGAGACACTACACTGGGCAACACACTGGGCAGTGAGACACTACACTGGGCAACACACTGGGCAGTGAGACACTACACTGGCAACATACCGGGCAGTGAGACACCACACTGGCAACACACCGGGCAGTGAGACAACACACTGAGCAACACACTGGGCAGTGAGACAACACACTGGGCAACACACTTGGCAGTGAGACACCACACTGGGCAGTGAGACAACACACTGGGCAGTGAGACACCACACTGGCAACACACCGGGCAGTGAGACACCACACTGGCAACACACTGGGTAGTGAGACACCACACTGGTAACACACTGGGCAGTGAGACAACACACTGGGCAACACACTTGGCAGTGAGACACCACACTGGGCAGTGAGACAACACACTGGGCAGTGAGACAACACACTGGGCAACACACTGGGCAGTGAGATACCACACTGGGCAACACACCGGGCAGTGACACAACACACTGGGCAACACACTGGGCAGTGACACAACACACTGGGCAGTGAGATACAACAGTGGGCAACACACTGAGCAGTGAGATACCACACTGGGCAACACACCGGGCAGTGACACAACACACTGGGCAACACACTGGGCAGTGAGACACTACACTGGGCAACACACTGGGCAATGAGACACCACACCGGCAGCACACCGGGCAGTGAGACACCACACTGGCAACACACCGGCCAGTGAGACACTACACTGGGCAACACACTGGGCAGTGAGACACCACACTGGCAACACACCGGGCAGTGAGACACCACACTGGCAACGCACCGAGTAGTGAGACACCACACTGGTAACACACTGGGCAGTGAGACAGCACACTGAGCAACACACTGGGCAGTGACACAACACACTGGGCAGTGAGACAACACACTGGGCAGTGAGACAACACACTGGGCAGTGAGACAACACACTGGGCAACACACTTGGCAGTGAGACAACACACTGGGCAACACACTGGGCAGTGAGACACCACACTGGGCAGTGACACAACACACTGGGCAGTGAGACAACACACTGGGCAGTGAGACAACACACTGGGCAACACACTGGGCAGTGAGATACCACACTGGGCAACACACCGGGCAGTGAGATACCACACTGGGCAAGACACCGGGCATTGACACAACACACTGGATGGGGACCCACAGGGCAATAGAGTGAGAGTCAGACACAGGCTACAGGATCAATATCTTTAAAATAAGACCAACAGCAAATCTCAGATGCTTGGTGTTATTTCACTGTAACCTTTATCTGGACATGCCAACAGTGAGCATAGTCTTGTTTTCGGTGCAGAAAACCTCATTCTGTTTTGCCCCAAAATACACAGTCACCTTACAAAATACACTTTACAATACTGTTTCTTATGTGAATCACTTTGAGACATATCAACGGCATGATAAGATGCTATATCAAGTGCAAGTATTATTATTATTAAGAATGGTTGGGTGGGCAGTCCAGGCAGGCAGTCTGTGAACACAGCTTCTCTACTGACTGCTCAAAATTGCGTACAGTACGAGCCAGACCAACATGAACAAATCAACAGAAGAAGCAATGGTGAATGAAAGCAACACAGCTTTGCTGTTAATGGATGAAGCTCAGTGTGAAGCAAAGAGACTTTGCTCAAAATGTATCAAGAAACCTGGTCCATGTGCCAAAGCCATACAATTAATGTACGCAGACATCAGAAAACAGCCAGCGGCAGGTACCCAAGTCTGCATGGAATGGCCGAGATTTGGGCTATGATATATCCTTGTTAGAAGTTAGAAAGTTTGTTGCAAGTAAAATAAAACAAAATACTAGTAAAAATGCTTATCGGCAAACTGTTTCGCTTAGGAAATCAGTACCAGCATCAGTATCAGCATAGGTCTGGACGATGGAGGGAGATCAAAGAGGTAGGTCTTGACACAGATCTTGAACGATAGATCTTGTATTGTAAGTACCATTTCACTAAGCAACACCAAAAACAACTTGCATTTATATAGCGCCCTCCATGACGGGCGACATCCCAGAGCACTTAGCATTGGTGGACCCAATGCCGAGCCAGAGGGAGGGGAAGGTGACCGTAGGTGTGGTCGAAGAGGAAGGTCTTCAGGCACACCCTGAAAATGGGGAAAGAAGGTCGAGGCAAAAGGATTGAGGGAGGGACCTCCATAGCTTCGGGGTGTAGAAGCTGAAGGCACGGTCACTGACTGTGGAGCAGAGGATTCAAGGGACAAGGAGGAGGCCAGAGTCAGTAGAGTGGAGGCAGCGGGTACTGCTGTGAGGAGAATGGAGAGATATGGGGGTTCCCAGGTGTGGAGGGATTTAAACACTAGAGTGAGAATCGTGAAGTGATCTCTGTGACAGGGAGCCAGTGGGGTTGGGTAAGCACTGGGGTAATTGGGGTGCGGAGTTTAGTGTGGGTGAAAATGCAGGCAGCGGAGTTTTGTATGAGTTGAGTTTTGTGAAAAGTGGAGGAGGGGAGACCAGCAATTAAATTGAGTAGTCAGCTGAGAGGTGACGAAGGCGTGGACAAGGAT